CTACTATATTATGCATTTATTATACATACAAACCTTCCTTAAGAATCACTCTATCTATTAAAAAAAACCGCATCAAAATCCGTTACGTAGTTTTAAAGATCTAAGCATACATACGGACATACAGCGAAAGCGACTTTGTTTTATACTATGTATTGAAGTACATTTGTTATGCTTGTTGAACTTTGTTCGTGTAAACAGGGTATTTCTTTATTTATTTCCATAAACCTCAATGCCTTATTTTGCATCCCAATTATGAAGAATGTAAAATGTCGTTGCTAATAATAATTTATATGTAACTGGCTTTTACCCGCGGCTTCGCTCGCGTCACAAAAGGATAAAAAGTAGCGATAAAAAGTAGTAAAATGTGACATATACCAATACACATAGCGCCATCTATACCAATACTTTTGTTTTCCCTCGGAAATATGATTTTTTTCCGGGATAAAAAGTACCCTATTATTTAATCTGGACATCTAACTTTACGTCTGCAAAAAATCAAAGCAATCAGCTTAGTAGTTACGGCGTGAAAGCAGAACAAACAAACGAACTCACTTTCCGATTTAAAATATTAGTAAGGATTAGCTTCTGCCCGCGACTTCGTACGCGCAGTCCCGTTTTCTCCCGTTCCCGTAGGATTTTCAGGACTTTTTTCTGTCATATGAACCTTCTCTTGACAATAACAAACACAACAAAAATAATAGTTATTCTTTTTAGTTTTGACATTTTGCTTGTTTTTTATATATTTAGAAGATGATACAAATAGTAGACTTCTATATCTAGATCTAAATATAAGTTGACTCAGTTGACCGTCTAAGCAACTTCGAGGTTTTTGGTGGTCAGTAGGTCCAATATTCAGACTATAATAAACAGCTCGCTCCGTACGTGCTCAATATGGACAGATATAAGACTTCTGTAAAGACGTCACCATGTTCATTAATGACCGAAAAGGTATGTAGGGGTGTTCATGTATTTTCCTAGCGTTGTGGGGCTAAAAGATAAACACATTTCTGCATCGAAAACATAAATAGGTACTTTTTTCACCAGGGCAAAGGACATGAATGTCATCATAGTTGGGGGTTCTATTTTCGGTAATTCGACTGCAAGCTAGTTATCAAAACAATCGCGGCTGCGGCAGATGAGAGGTTTACAATTAGTTCGAGTATCGGCGGTATAAACATATCTATCCCATCTAGTAATTGCTCTCATCAGCTTCAACAGTTTACAGCATTTAATCAAATGCTTCCCTTTACTTAATTACCAACCTATTAATGTAATAAGAGCTCGTGATACATTGTTGATATCAAAACACTCAAATCATATTTTTTTTTGGAAAGTGTAATTATATTTCTGTTGGAAAGCCAAGAATCGACACGAATGGGCCGGCTCGACCGGAGTGATATCACGGCCTTACAGAAAACTGACGTGAAGTAACGCTTGCGTTGTTTCGTTGTGTGAGTGAGGTTACTGGAGGCTCAATTGCCCCCTCCCCTTCCCCAATCTCCCCAATCCCTGAATCCCCAACGATTTTCAAACCCCTAATCCCCAAAAGGCCGGTAATGCACATATAACGACTCTGGTGTTCTAGGTGTCCATGGCCGACGCCGATTGCTACAGGTGATTCGTCTGCTCGTTTACCGACTTATGTCGTAAAAAAAAATATTATGTACTAATTTCTTCCAGCGGCTTTGCCCGCATTCCCGTGGGATAAAAGCCAGTCTATATTCTATTCCAGACCATCCATCATTCATCTACCCCGGTTTCAAATTTCATCCAGATTGAGTAACAGATATACATACAAACAGAAAAAACTTTTGCATTATTTGTAAGATGTAAGTATAATATATTGAAACTCATAATATAAGAAATTATTATTTAATTAATATACTACTAGTATGTTGCAAACTATTGTAAAATTAAACATACGGCTTATTGGATAGAAAATATAGTTCATATTAGAGAATAGAGATTAAAGAATAGAAGTTATCCGAATGGACTTCACCTGTCACACACAGAATCCCGCAAGTGAAAGATTGGCCCAATGAAAGTCTTACTTTGTCTGATACAAATCGTTCTATGTCCTCGCCCAGTACTTTGATATATGTATTATAGTGACTTTGGTAGTTTATACATAAGTATTTAATTTTAGATGTTTATGTGTCGAATTATGTGTTTAAAGTTTTTTATTGTATTGACTGCACGGTTGGTGCGGTGGCTGGGTAACTGGCTGCCGCGCACCATGTCGCGGGTTCGATTCCCGCACGGAACAATTCTTTGTGTGATCTACAGATTGTTGTTCCGGGTCTGGGTGTTATCTGTATGTGATATTGTATGTTTGTAAACGCACCCTCGACACAGGAGAAAATCCTAGTGTGGGGCAATGTATTCTTTGTGTAAAGAATGTTGTAAAGAAAAAAAAATTGTATGCAGTGCTGTACAGAAATCATAAAAAAAAAATGAAAAAAGCATTTTTTGTAATGTTTAAAATCGGTTTGTAAACGTAGTTGGGTTTCATACCTTTGCAGTCAGAAGACCTCCTTCTAATTTGGTTGATCCTGAAGTCATTTATCAAAAATGTATGTTTCATAACTGATTTAAGATTGCATGTGCAGTAGACAAGCTAATACTAAGTCCATTCATTATATCTAAGCACATTTAAATGTAGTTTCTATAGGTATTTCCAGTCTAACCTAAGTTAACCACTAATTACAAATGTTGAACAATCCGCGTGAGTAACTGCGATTCTGCAGTTCGGAATTGATTGCAGACAGTGTTTACAGAAATAAGGTTTTAACCCCAAACATGGTGCATATAATATCAATCTCATGGATTTACATGGATATCTTCAAATTCCAAGGTGAACAAAATGTTCATGGTCAGTTTCAGTCTTTTTTTCATGTGGGAGTGTAATGCTCGACTAAAGTAATACCACTGCCTCACAGACAACGCTAAATATTCCAACAAAGTAGGTATTTATAACTCTTCTAATGTTATGGGTGCCCATGCGCGGTACCGATTGCTTACTATATTCGGTGACCTCTGCTCGTTTACCGCAGAAATCTATTGTAATTTAAAAAAGATAAAGTCTGTCCTAGCTTAGTATGGTACTTATTAGCTTATCTTTACATGGTACGAATATTATTACTCTATTTTGTCTTAATTGTTAGATATTTAGAATAAATTACGTCATGAGAACTTAGGCTTTCCTTTATCGCCAAAAACTATTATTGTCAATCTAACATCCGAGTATAAAAAACATTTAGTGATTACAGTGTCACTAATCAAAGACTGGTCCGGAAGCTAAAGATTGGGGTCTTCCTCTCTTTTTGAGAGGTTCCCTAACGATAGACTATTGTATCGAAAGTTTTGTAGTACATCTTCGTAAGATATCTACAAATATACCTGTTGTATATTAAATTAAACTGTCAAACACCAAGCGGTCACCGGTGACCGCAACCTATTGTTCTATAATTGTGTCTATAATGACGGTACTCGACGAGTTAATAATGAACCTATGTACTTGGACCCCCAAAACTCATGCTTAGAGGTTAGTGCACACCCTATTACTTAAAAAAGGCCTGCAGCACAGCAGCGTATTGCTACTTCAATCTATCTATATAAATAAAAATGGATTACCGTTCGTTAGTCACACCAAAACCCGAGAACGGCTGAACCGGTTTGGCTAATTTCGTGAAAATCTCGTGGAAGTCCAGGGGAGGTTTAAAAAGTGAGATAGGAAAATGGCGATACTAAGTTTCCCGGATCAGCTAGTGTTTTATAGATTCTTTCATAGCTACAACGTCACACGTATATGTTTAGACAAATTCTATATGAATTTCTATTAATAATTAAATTAACTAAAAACTGCGGGTTACTCACGTGAATATACTGAGAAAAGCTCTACTAGTTTCGAACTACACAGGGGTTCTTCCTCATGAGCAGAATGCGCGTTCGCAGCAACGTCGCGCAGCTCACTGTAGTATGTCTCACGATAGTTATTATAAATAATTAAATTATTTTGTTTTTATGTTAGTTTCGTGCTAATTAAACGATGTAATGAGAACGATGAGTGAGAACCTCTCTATTATCCAGGAACGTTATTCAAATGCAATACGTATTATATTAATGTAGAGATAATTATATTGTCGATACATCTATGCTTGTTATATTCTGTGAAATCACATGTATGCCTTTATAAAAGGCGACAGGAGCGTGAAATTGGGTGGACGTGCAGAATGCATCGATGAATTTAACAGGACCGACCTATTCTAATTAGGTGATGTAGGTATTGAACATTTGATTATTATATTCTCTATACAACTGAATTTGATTACATTCGAGCTCGAAATAATGAGGTTTATTTTGAGATTGCACCTACACTGATACTATTTCACATGGATCGAATTGGTAAAAGGCAAGCGTGTGTAGGACTAAGGGAAACCAGGTACAAATTAGAACCTTATGTTATTAGGGAATAAGGGACATTCAAAAAGGTCCTCCAGTTTCTAACAATACTAAGTTTTACTTTGGTAAGAATTACTTTCAATTGTATACTTGTATAGGTAAGCCTCTTACTTGAATTACATACAATGGTATTTTAAAAAGCTTTTAAAGTAAAGCTAAAACTTTAACCTTAAAGGGTGTTTTAAATCTAATATCAAATTCTTCTTCAAATAACGAGATAATAACTAGAATCCATCCAAAGCCCCACATTCGGAATGTATTCACTTAAATTGCGAGTATTAAATAATAATGTAAACATTAAAATACATAGTATGTTTAATCATAACTAGCTGTACCCGCCACTTCGCCCGCGTGGAATAGAGAAGATTTATAGGTCTTCTCTTATTGTAGGTGATAGCGTGATGATATCTAGCTTATATGTTGATCTGACCTATGTATTAGTAATGTTTTGCAAAATTTGAAATAAATTCGTGCAGTACTTTTTGTGTTTGACCCAAACATACAGACAAAAATTGTAAAAAAAGCTATATTTTTGGCTTTGATGTCGAATGCAGATCACGTCCCAAATATTCTTATAAAGAAAAATATTAAATTTCTTAAGATTTTAATCTTCTTCCGTATGTTTCACCGCATGGCTACACACAGACAAACATTTCTCAACATTCCGGAACCTGTTGTCATTGCCTCCACAGCCACTGTATGAAAAGCCCTTACACCTCATATCTATGATGTCGAAATACCACCTGAAAACAATATTTTTATGAGACTTCTTAAAAATTCATCAGAAGCAGTATCTCCTATTTTCTCTTCAATTTTAATGGAATGAGTATCTACTGCACTAGAAAGTCAGTCGTTTAATTTTACGTTGAGATATGATTTATAGATAGCTTTTTTGAGGGAAAATCATCCAATGACTTCTCCCGCCCGGGTGAGGCTGGAGGGAGTGTCAGACTCTTACTGACTAAAAACCACCCCGTTCCTATTCCTGCATTTCAAACCAAAGCCCCGGCAACCCGTTGGGTCTTCCGCGGCCCCGCATCGGCATCAGCCCTGTTGGCCCCATCTGTGGTGGTCTGATAGCTCCTTGAGGCGCGCGCGGAACGCGACGCGCTGTACACTCGGGTCTGGTTCTGGTCGCGATCCCCGACGCCCGGAATGTCTCTCACGACGGCCTGGGCGTGAGGAGGTTCGTTCCCTCACGCGCTCCGCCTCTTCCTAAGCAAGCATAACTGCTTCGCAGAAGGAGGAGACGGCATCCCAGTCCCCCTCGCTCCGTACCATGGTCTGAACCAGAGCCGGACGCGAGAGGACGCCGTCACCGATCACATCCTTGAGGACACGGCGGTGCTCAGCCCACGGAGGACACACCGCCACCGTGTTCTCCGGGCAATCCTCGCAGTGATGACACCCGGGCGTTTGTTCCCGCCCAATTCGAAACAGGAACCTACCGAATCTGTGATTATAGGTAGCTAGCTATTAAATAATTAAAAGCCGACTTTTTCCAATAATGTCGCGAATCTTATATAAAACGTCTTTATACTACAGGAAACATAACTTACATCGGATTATACATATGGCAATCTCCAAAGTCAGGCTGAAACCTGCAGTAAACATTGGCTGTTACATTTACAACTTGATGACTGTACTCGTCTGCAACAGAAATATGTTTCATCGGTTATTATTTTTCAATGTTACATACATTTTTTGAGTTACATATGACAAACTATGTGAATACAAGTTTCCATTTACTCCTTACAAAGTACGTATAACCAAGCTCTGTCAACTACTTCGCCCTTGAGGTGCGTAGATTCCGTATTTTATCTTTTCATCATTCTTTACGTTTTTACGTTTTTATCTGGGATTTTGAAAAAAGTGAATTAACTTCAAGCCATGACCACATCAGTATCATGGATAATAACACAATTTAAATTACACTACTTACCAATTAATGATAATTTCACTTAGGTATCAGTAAAATTATCTTGAAATCATCAAGCTTAAATTTTATCTGTCGGTGCTATAAAGGTTTTCTCACAAAAAAAATATTGAACAAAATATTATACCTTCACATGCTTCAAAGCAATCGCGTCTTCCATCGAACATATTGTACGAGTGTTTACAATGTCCGTAATCGAACTGAATACATTGGTTCAGCTGTATATCGTAATAATACCTGAAATTAGGGCAGACGAACATTAGTAATGTAATATCCAAAATGTTAGGACTGGTCCACTGACCAATAAAAATCTCCATGAATAACAAGCGAGTCGAGCGGAATAGCAAGCTACAAAGGTATTCTAAGATAGGCCAATGCCAGACGGAACAACGTTTTCGTTGAATGCAAAAATAAATATGATACAGGTATACTCATTATATTTATTTGGTTTTAATTTTTCATTCATTTTGCATATGTCATTGATGACTAGTTATTTGATCTGTATCAAAACACAAAATAGGTATTATAATATTATGTTTTGGCACCTAATTGTCGATTTCTAAACCCACAGAAGCACGGGGTCTGCGTGCAAAATATGATAGTTTGGTACTAGGTAGTTGTAATTCAGAGAAACAAAACATTTTTAAAATGCAATCAGTACACAGTACAGTACTGCCCTTTTAAATTCATGTAAAAATTCTTAAAACCCTCAAAAGATAAAATAAATACCTATTTTTTGTACATACTTGCGTTTTAGCCTGGCATTTGAACACGAATATGAATTTGCTTGAAACTTACAATAGACTTTGTCATCAAATGTTGTTAAATCATCTGGAGAGAAAAACTGAAATTAATGCAAATTATAATAGGCCATTTTCCATAAAGTATTAACTTGTATGTTTTAAATGCTCTGCTGTAAATATTATAAAACCCTAACAACAACAGTTCTTTATCGAATACGACCTCTCGTTCCTACTTCTCACTGAGAACTGACTAACTGAGAATTTTTCAATTAGTCACCCAACTAATGTTTACCAGATAACGAAATATTAAAAACATCAATGCGTTTGATTCTAAAGAACATAGAAGTAGCACTAAAATTGGTCTGGTGGGCGAATCATTTTTCGGCACAAACGGGCCGGCTCGACCGGAGTGGTACCATGAGCTCACAGAAAATCGGCGTAAACAACGCTTGTAATATTTTTCAACATGTTGTTGGTGAAGTTTATGGAGAACTAATAGGTCATTGCGCACTTGCAATCCTTCATGTATCCATGGGCAGCGTTGATTGCTATTAGCTAACCATCAGGTGATCCATCTACTTATTTGCTCCTTAAGCCCATAGAAATTTCAGGGCCTGATCGTCATCATATCTAGTGGTAATCATCAGCAAGCTCGAAACAAAGGTTTATCTGTCTTACGAGAGGGTTTGGCATAAACTCCTTGCGTTGGCAGTAAAATCACGGAATATATTGAGGACACTGTTGCGCGATTCTCGGGAACTGTTCGCAATTTTAAAACGTATTCGCGTTTAGCGCTTGTTAAGAAGTATTAAAAATTTCTAACTTCTGGATTTAGCAGGGTCTTACAATCACTAGAAATAACACTGCAATTCTAGTATTGTAAAGGCACATGCCTTTACAATACTAAGCACAAACAACAAACTAAAGTAGAATGAAATACTATTTTTGTAATAATAAGCTAATCACGAACCCATATGTGCACGACTAGGTGATACTTTAGTTTGTGTTGTTTGGAATGTCTCCGTGGTCTCCTCATTAACTTTTTCAGGAGTTTCAGTAGTTCGTTTTGTAGCTTCACCAGCGAGTTCCGTAGCTTCAGTAGTAAGATCCGTGGCTTTAGTAGTGAGTTTCGTAGCTTTAGTAGTGAGTTTAGCTGTAGTATCTGCAGTAAGTTCTGTAGTCAATTTCGTAGTAGTTTCGTCAGCCCTTAATTGTATCACAGTAAACGAAATCACAGTAAAAAGTGAGTGAATTATGGAACCCAGAAACATATTTACTTAGTGATGGCATGTAAATACTAAAGAAATTAATACAAAAATGTAAATATAAAAACTATTTTTTTCGATATTTTTATTGCGTATAACATTAACAATTGCAACATAAAAGTTATGTTAGGCAATAAATCGATAAATAAGTGGTTTATATTCCACTAGCGATCCGCCCCGGCTTCGCACGGGGGCAATATGCATGTATTATTAAGAACCGCTCTATCTATTAAAAAACTGCATTAAAATCCGTTACGTAGTTTTAAAGATCTAAGCATACATAGGGACAGACAGACGGCGGGTAGCGACTTTTTTCATACTATGTAGTGATTTAAGATATTATTTTTATTAAAAAATACACTTACATAAAGTTTAAAATATCCGTCGATCCTATAATGAGTGTTGTAAAATAATTCAACTTTTTTATCTCCACCTTGAAATAAAACGCCAGAAAAGTTTATCATTCGTGAACCGATTTTCGTTTTGTTATTTTTATTTAAAATAATATAACTACGATTATATTATTTATTTAAAAGAAGACGTACCAAACTTTGAACGCTTATTGTTATTAGACGATTATTAGACGATGATATTATAAATTTCATTTATACACATATATTTCATTTATATTTATATATTTATATATATATATATATACATATATTTCATTTATATTTCATTTCATTATTTTTGTGGTATGTAAGGACATATTTTGCTATTGTCCTTACATTTGTTAGTCCAGTCCAGTTGTTTATAGTAATTGCAATTTTATCCCCTTCATAACAATAAATCAATCTGCTATTTGATACACACTCTTAATCTTGATAACCTTATGGTTATATGGTAAAGCCCTATTATGGCTTTGATTAGTAGAAAGGCCTGATTGATACTATTTAACATTAAATATTTTTTATGAATTTCAAACATTCTCAGTAGTGACAGAGGGGCTGTTATTGTGTTCGGTGTATGGCAACAGACTCGCCTTAACTCCAACTAGCGCGAAATAGTAACTCTCTCTCGCTTCGGTATTGGGACTGAAGCGAAAGGGATATACTAAACACTTGCTGCTCGACTAAAACTAGCATAGTGCGAGTGCGAACAAGGCATAAGTTACACAACACTCATGATACATATGGTGAAAAGAAGGTGTTACTTACATTTAATACTACCTGTACGGCAAACTTTGTACCGCCTTGAACATGTTTTCTCACCTTTTTAACCTGCCCTGGACTTTAACAAACCATTCAAGACCAAAATTTTCCAAATTGGTATATTCGTTTTCAAGTTTTAGCGAGACTAACGAACAGTAATTCCTTTTTATGTATATAGATTTGAGCCTCTGCCTGCTTGTTATGTTATATAGGTTTATATTTTCGAAGATTCTCATATTAACAAACTAGTTGGTCATTATACAACACAAAACAAAAGGTAGGCAGAGGTGTAGATTATACCACTGTACAATGTAACACCCACTTTTCACTATTGATGTTATGAGTCCCATGTAATAGGGGGTGAGCCTATTGCCATATACTGGGCACAATTCCAGACTCAGTGCTACTACTGAGAATTTTTAAAAACCCATTTAGTTGGTCAATATTTATGATAATAAAACACGAAATGATACTAATGTAAATAGTTTAGACAGTTTCTCATAAAAACTTTAATTACATTACATTTAAATCTTTAAAATTAAATAGTTCACAATGAGCACAATTCATTCTATACTCTTTACTTCTTGGCTACATTTTTTCTATTGGTATTCTCTTGGGAAACGCCACATGTTTTAGACACATGGCTGTGCACATTTGAGCTGACGTAAACTTATTTTGGTTCCCTCCACATCCACTGTATGAGAATCCTTTACATTTGCGAGTCGAGACATCAAAGTACCACCTGTTGAGAAAGACGTCATCATCAGCCCGTATACATGATATCACCACGCTTGGCAGATCATCGCGGATCATTGCGGATCGTATGGTAGATCATCTATTAATTACACAACACAATAACCAGTGGCGTAACTACAGGGTTTCAAATCGGCATAATGCCACGGGCCGCCAGCCCTAAGGGGACCCATGCAGAGATTTACATCTGAACTTCTCTATTTTTTACTAGCTGTGCCTGCGACTTCGTCCGCGTGGAAAAGTGATTCACCGCTCCTCTCCCGTAGGTGATAGCGTGATAATATGTAGCCTATATGTTGAACCGACCTGTTAGTAATATCCATGCAAAATTTGAAGTAAATCCATACAGTACTTTTTGAGTTTAATCCGAACATACATACAGACAAACAAACAAAAATTCTAAAAACCATATTTTTGGCTTCGATATCTATTGTAGATCACAACTCAAGCATTCTTTTAAAAAAAAATTCAATGTACAGTTTTGACTTCCCTACGGTTTTATTATATGTATAGACTTGGGGCCCAATCGAAGAATTTGCCACAGGCTACGAATGGTATAGTTACGCCACTGACAATAACATAACACAAATACTTTAGCGGGGCGTATGAAAAATGTGGTTAGTTAACCTGCCTTCTTCAAATTTACTACTTACTCGTTACTTCACAATAAAATGTTCATTAGAAACTTACAAGGGAAAGTAGTCATTGCATGCTCCAAAATCAGGTTGTAATCGGCAACCAACACCTATTGGTAATTTTTCAGCTATAAATTGAACTCCAGGTACTAAATGAAAAGTAAAAACATAAGTTTTGTAAAACATCATCGGTATTATAATAAAAGTTGATAACTGTATTTTTTATAGTTTTATAAATAGACTTATATAAAATCAGGAATATTTATAGATATTAATAATAATGTTTAATTAAATAATAAGTATTAATCACTTACCAGAACAAACTTCAGTACAGTCGAGCAGTGTATGAAATGTATTGAAACTCAATTCACATTCCCCGTACTCGAACGTTCGACAAGCTCTCATATTGTTGTCGTAGTAAAATCTAAAATAAAAATTTGAATATTTAATTTTCGGAATGTTTTTCTTTAATTATCATCAGCCGAAATGTAATTGTTCTACTGCAAGGCAAAACTCTCTTCTCACATGGAAAAGAAATGAGCATTAATGATCACGGTTTCTCAAAGCGGATTGACGGTTTTAAACATTAAATTAAAATTATTAGATACGTTTTCGGCTTCATCATCATCATCATCATCAACAGCTTGAAGACGTCCACTGCTGGACAAAGCTCCCCCCTAGCCTCCACGTCGAACGACAACTCGCCACCCACTAGTTTTCAGCTTACTAACGTAATAATTTGACGAGGAACTCGACTAGTTTCAAGCTCTACTAGAGGCTCATATTCATGAGCAGCATTTCACGACCCGCGTCGCCGCATAATAAATTATTTAATATGTCTCACGAGGGTTTCCTAATGACGTTTCGAACCCTTACATTGTTCTTGACGATCGTATACCTAATCTTCAAGCCTCTGAGACATGCGACATAGACACTTTCTTTAGAGGTAATTATAATTGTAATAAAAATTTTAATAAATAGAATATTACTGCCCTATGCTTAATCATTACATTTTAAGTAAAAACAAAATAACTTTACACTAGAACAAACCTGCTAGGGTTGGTCTCATTCTGATTACAATCGAAGCCATTTGGCTGCAGTTTGCAACGAACATACCAATCCATGGAGCTCAACTCGTCTGGAAGTCAATGTCACTTAGATAAATAATACCTAATAGATATTATTAAAATATAATTAAAGTTCTCACTAAGAATTGTTATTGTTCATTAGTGCCTATAAATAATGAGTTAGTAGTCAACGAATGTCTACTTTGCAGGAGGAGGAACGGCATGGGTTTTAGTAAGTAGATAAGAGTTTGACACTCCCTCCGGCCTCACTTAGATGGGAGAAGATATTCGATGATTGAAAAAAAGCCAAGGGCAATGCGGGTGTATCGCAGCAACTGCATGCAGACGACATACAACTGCATGCAGTTACCTGCTATCAAACTGGGACATAGTTGACTCTAAATATTGGCTATGTGCGCGACGGTGGCGACGCGTAGCATTTACAACATTTGCGGAAGCTGTCAAATAATAACAATGTAAACATTATAATTTTCTTTGCAAATATAAATAAAACCAAAGATTAAAATAGTATTGTTGACATTTTTTAAGTGCAATTTATTCAATAGTTTTACTGTAAAATGAATATAATTTTAAAAGCCGGGTTTGCATCATCCGTATTTGTTTCCAATTTCTGCCGTGTTGTGCGCTGCGGTCGTTATCTGTCCGCTACTACTCGCTTTGCACATAGCCAATAAGTATTTAGAGTCATCTATGTCCGAGTTTGACAAGTCTAGGGACTTGATAGGCTATTTTGTAACTTTCAATTCGAGAGACCGAAGAGAACTCGATTGCCGTCCGTCATGTGATTGGTTGTGAAAATAATCTCGGCCAATGACAGGTGACAATGCAATCAAGCTTCAAAAGTTCGAATACTTGATGCAGTGAACCTTTTTCACATCGCCAATCATGGACAGCATTGATAATTACACGACTATAGATGTTGATCACGTCTCTTGCAGTTGAAGTTACGTATGTATGCAATTAATTTGATTTCACACGACCGCAACCAACAAATTTGATATTTTCATGACTGCATAATTATTGTTGCTACAACTCATTGCGTGTGTAGGGAGCCTGAAAACCACCGTTGCACTTTTGCAAAATTACAGGAAATTTTGATATTTGGTTTATAAATGCTACCGGACCACCTGTGACCTTAATGTCTGCAATCCTGAAAATGAATGGATCTATTTCAAACCTCCTTGATAGATATTGAAACTTATAAGTTATCCAAGAAATAATGGATAAATGGAACATTTTTCTAGGAAGTCGACCAAACTGTAATTATAAAGAACAAACTGACAGATGCTTAATTTACTGAACAGTAAAAATTCGAATGAAAGTAATATTTCATATCAGTTTATTACGATATCACACTGAATTTGTAGAGCGCACATTTTCAGTTGAAGAGTTAAAGCAGACGTTATTTTATATTTCAATCCATTCATTTCAGCCATTATTCGGAGCATTGTTCATGTTTAATCTTTTCAGTTAATTCTTTTTCATATTTAAACTGCCTCGTTGGCCGAGTGGTCGCAAGTGCGACTGCCGAGCAAGGGGTCTCGGGTTCGATTCCCGGGTCGGGCAAAGTATTACTGGGTTTTAAAAAAATTCTCAGTAGTAGCACGGAGTCTGGAATTGTGCCCGGTATATGGCAATAGGCTCACCCCCTATTACATGGGACTCGTAACATAAATAGTGAAAAGTGGGTGTTACATTGTACACTGGCATAATGTGCACCTCTGCCTACCCCTTCGGGATAAAAGGCGTGATGTTATGTATGTTATGTTATTTGAACTCATGTTTTCTAAACATGAGGTTTACAGAAAAAGAACTCTGTTGTTCCATGCTAGTTCTAGGTGTCTACAAATGTCTTACCTACTATATAATTTTGCTAATGAAACGACTAAATGAATAGTTGTTAAGATTTCTATGACTCTTTGTACTCCAAAAAGTGTGAACTTACGCGATTCGATGTACTTTGGTACTTTATCATTGTATAATCCTGATTCTGCACTATCAAATAGAAACAAGGTAAACACTAAGAATACTATGACGTTCATATTATTGTTTTTGCCTGTGCAGTGAAAACATGTTACGTAAATATGCATTTCCACAATATCACGAGTTAAATGGTGTTCAACGAATGAAATTTCAAGTTTAGTGATAATGTACTGAAGTCGTAAAAAGTACTATTCACGGAAGAAAAATATTGTTATTTTTTTATTTGTTTCTTTCTAGGCGGGCGCAGTCTGCGCGTTATTTGTACAAGAGGAAATAATAGGAAATAAATTAACTTGAAAATCAAGAGTCACACTGTCTTCAGTCACCTCGATATCGTTCGTACATTTGGACATAGATTCATAGGAGAAATCTGTACCTATGTATGAAAAATCATTGTACATGTAAAACAGCTCCAAAAACTCAAAAAAGCATTGAAACAGTTTAATAATAGGTATATGCTTTCTATTATTGTTAACAAAAGGTTGGGAAAATATCTCTACATAGTATAAAAGAAAGTCACTATCCGCCGTCTGTCTGTCCTATGTATGCTTAGATCTTTAAAACTACGAAACGGATTTTGATGCAGTTTCTTTTTAATAGATAGAGTGATTCTTAAGGAAGGTTTATATGTATAACACATGCATATCGCACTCGGTCGCTAGTTTAAAAATAAAACGCTATATTTACACAGCAAATAGAGTTGTTTTATTACAAAAAAGTTATAATTATAAATTATTGTCTTGTTTAAATATTACAATGGTTACGTCGTCATCATGGTATAAATGACCAGTCCAATTTTAGATGTTCGGTGTAGATTTTAAAAACATTTGACGTGATTTTTACCGACTTAAAGGTAGTTTCGTAGTTTGGATACATACAGGTGTATGTATGTATGTCTAGCGCGTCCTAGGGATATGAATATAGATCCCGCGACGAAATAAAATAGAAGATAATAATAGAGGAAAAGAAAAGAGGTTTTGGTATATTAATTAACCGACTTCAATAAAAAAGGAACTTGAAGTCGGTATATTAAACGTGACAGTATTAGTCTATAAAAGAATTAACATACCCTGTCGTCATCCCTATCGAAATATAAAAAGTCGGTATACAGCAGATTATATTGAGTAACTAATAGGTATTGATATAATGAATAACTAATATTTTATTTTTATTTAAAGACGGTATTTAGCAGCCCTAAGGATGGGGTACTTGTCCCCGGTGCAGAGGCCGCGGAAGTCATCCATGGACAGGTCAACGATGGACACTCCACCGAGGTTCTTGGCCCTGGAAAAAATGGTGATTAATTAAGATCTTTCTTTTTTAATCTTCTTGTTTAGATACAAGTGTCACATTACTTAATTATTATATTAAATATTTGGAGTATTCCCGTTGGAACATAGTTTACATTTTATAAGCACCTAAGTATAGAGGTATATACATTTACTTATTCATAAGGTTGAAAGTGCTCTATGTCTAAGAATACCTAATTAATAAACAGGTGGTCTCTAGGTGCTCAAATGAGAATATTTCATATATTCAAATCATTTGTTAAAAATAGCAAAAGCCAACAACACTATTCGAATTAAGAATCATATCTATCTACGATGTATGTTTTCTATCACTACCTATAGTATCTACAATGTGTAAAGAAGTGACTTAAAAATATTCAACAAGAAAATAAAAACGTCCAGCTAACGCTTCATTAAATTGTCGTCACCATCTACTGACAGCCACTTTTTAGGGGGTTACTATAAATACATCGTTGTTTCATATACATTTTGAGGCCAATAATTAGGGCCTAAAAAGTATATGGTTGGTGCCTTCCATGGGTCACAGTTTTAACACATACACAGCTCAATAATGATGTAATTTATAAAAAAAATATCTTACTTGACGTAAGCAGCCCTCTGTCCAGCAGTGTCAGGGTCTTCATAGGACACCCACAGACCTGGGTCACCGTTGTCATCGGGAAGACGGAAGGCATAAGTTCCTGTAATTACACATTAATATTAATATACTATACAACGTAATAAGAAACCCATATATTAGCGTAAAATGTTGTGATTGAACTTATGTTACCCTTAGAAGCATATAAAACTATCCCGTACTTGGATTTAAATTTAATTTTTAATCTCTTTCTAGTAAAGTCGAATGTCCAATAAAAGATTAAACAATATGAGATAGTTTGATATGCTTGCTTTATTCTTTATCCGGTATTTAAAGATGCGACATTTATATTAAAGAAAGTGCAGAAGTCATAACAGCCTGTCTTATCCACCAACTAGTACTAACTACGTAATATGAATATAAAATACTATTAACTCAAAATATAAAACTATTCATACTATACTACAACAATACGATACTACAAATTAGGTAAATAACTAAACAAATACGCTACTACTGACATCTACACATGCATATTTAATTATCTTTTTAATGTTGCAATGAAAAGAAGCTATGACGAAATATATAAAATACATGTATAGGTAAAATTTTGCAAAAGATTGTTATTAACATCATATCTGGACGATCACTGCCAACCAGCTTTTAGTATGGTGTTTGTTATAGAAGCTATAAGCCTACTATGAATGAGTACCAACCAAAAAGAGGGGTTATCTCTGGGTCCTTCGTTAAGTCTTTCGTTAATTCTTTTTCTGAAAAGTTAAATTTGCTAGCTAATACTAAGCCCGTTTACAAGCAAGCTGTCTCTAGATGAAGATTCATATCTTTTGGCACCTACTCAAATATATATTTTTATACCATTGCAATATTATTTTCTGGTGCAGTTAGGGCTAAAAGATTTAATTCTTCAAAGCACACACAGATTTAAGTAATTTGCTTAATAATCTAATAAAGCACAAAGCTACATTTTTACAGCATAGATCTAAACTGACTTAAAAATTCAGATTTGGCGCTAAAAATACACCTTCAAACCTATCGTTTTGTAAATTGAAACGAACAAACAAAAACTATTTTTTTTTAATGTAACTATCTAACTAAATAGTTATAAAAATGTTCCTTCACAAACTTCACAAAGCCCAAACAGTATCAGCTACTGTTTCTTATCATAAGTACAAAATATGACAGATATATTTTCTAACGTGCTGGGAATGTTATGCAATTTGACATCAGAAGCCATATTTTCGTATCCCATTCCTTACAATATAATGCCTTGACACAATGCACTTTGCTAGACGAATTTTTTTTTTAATTTTTGTATTATAATACAAAATTTTGCACTTTTTAATTGCAATTGTTCAGTAATTGGGTAATATGGATATTCTATTAAATCTTCAAATTATTTAAATCGTGTTTTGTAAACCTAAAATAACCAGAATAATTTTTGCCTATATTTTGTTTTGTAGATAAATAGAATTCATTACTTACCGAAGCGCTTGCTGGGGTCAGTGACCTTCCTGAGGTGAGGACGCATGCCCTTCTGGTGGTTGGGGTTGATCAATTTGGCGCAAACTTCAGGGTAACTCAAGATACCTTCGGTTTTGGTGTAAGGTCCTGAAAGAAAGAAAATTATAATAGATTTTAGGAGATTAAAAGCAAAACAGTTACACACACTATAAAACCTACAGTTAGCATTTGACTGCCGACAGAAAACTGGTGAAGGCAAAGCCTACGCTAATGTAGGCACCTACGCGGCGGTTAACATGTTGACTTTTGGGATTCCATATTATTGTTGAAAACAAATAAAAATTACTTCATACTAACTAAGAAACGAACTCAAGACAGCACCTATTAGGTGTAGCAGGTCCAACAAGGTCGAAATGACTTACTAACTACATGCATATTTATATGAACCCTAAAGTGAAGTGCCAAATTGCGATGGCATTGTAACCGAATGCAATGAATAAGACATAGTGACTAAATCTAGACATTATGAATATTTATCATCTCGCTGAATATTTAGGAGTACTTGGTAGCAATTGTTTCCCAATCTGATGATAAATTCTCGGGCCAGTTAAGTTTTGTAGAAAGATAACAATGGTTCACTTATAATAAACATATACCTATATGTATAAGTAATAGGTAAATTTTGTTGGCTTTTTTGCAACTTACTCACTCGTTTGCAAAACGAATGTGTTTGCATTTTGTAACGTTTTTCGAACAATGATTATGCATAATGGATCTCTATTGAGAACAAAGTGAAGTGAAAGGTAAAAATGTGCTGCAGTAAGATGCTGAAATAAAAATAAAACTCAACGCAGCGGTAATTGTGCTAGTTATAAAAAGATAAGTCTTAAGAACGGGGTATTTAGTATTTATTTTTCTAATGATAATAAGTATCATTGAAAACCGCAACATGATCAACGAACAATAAATCTGATTGAACTCAATAGAAAATGCAACATAACTGACACTTTATCAGTTTCTACCATGGTTTGACAATTATCAATCTTATCTAAAATTATAGCTCCTTATGAGTATCCACATCCACGACAGATTCCAAAGAGTAAAGTTTCAATAAAAACAAAATATTCCCACATACCAGCTTCACCAGCACCGTCAGCGTGAATTGGAGGAACTCCAGAGATCTCGCTTTCACTGTCCAGTTTCCAGGTACGGGCAGCGGTAGGGATACCCAACACCAGCTTGTGGGCAGGAGCACCACCCTGGAGCCTGTTGAAAGAGGTAAACCAATTATTATACTACACTATTTTTTTTTTATGAAGCCAAAGAGTTTGTTTGTTTGTACGCGCTAAGATAAGGAACTCCTGGTTCGAATTGAATAAATACTCTTTGTTAGATTTTTCCATTTGGCTGCGATAAATAGGGACTGAGCATAGTGAGCATAGCAGATAAAACCGCGCCAGAGTCGCTAAGTTAGCCTGAAAACGAGGACATTACGTAAACTTCAAACCTTGGCTCATAGCTACCTTTACTAAGCACTTCTCTGTGTACCTTCCATCATATTCGTAGATCTGGTCATACAAGTTTCCCGGTTAGGTGTACTCTACGTGGCCTTTAGCTTATGTGAGTCCTTCGACGTGAAATTGTGTCTTACGACCCCATAACCGATCATGACCTTCAGGATGTAATCGCACATCAATTTTATGGTATCCATGTAGTAGTTATGGTACACATGTTGACACTGTTCAGAAAACATTTTTATATGTATACCTAGGCTAGCTTAACCGTAAATGTTATGCCAAAATGGAGCAATAATGATTTTTCTATGTTGGACAAAAAAGTGAAATCATAAAATAATCAAAATATTACGTAGTGTAGTAGGAACAGTTAATTCTAATCAATAAAATATTCTGTTTCCATTTTTGACTGGACAGTACCCTAACACTACAGAAAATATAATTAGCGTTGCCAATAAATAGCCAGCCAGTCTTGTGGATGATTTTTTAGTCCCTGAACATGGATTTTGAATGCCCTGTATTACTACGGCTGACACTATGACCATATTATGCCTAACGTAATTTCTACGATAATACTGAATGATTAGTACGAGTTTCTGTTCGAGTACATTAACGCGTTCAACGATTTCAACACGTTAATGACGTTCGGCGCTCTGATAGGCTACTTCAAGTCAACCAACCAATCAGAGAGCTAAATGCTGTAACGTAAACATAAAAATAAACTCGCATTAGGGACTCAGGTAATAAAACTCACCAGTGATTGACAACGGCGTCAGCGTTCCACAGTGGGTTGCGGTTTTGGGGAGTGTAAATGGGAGTAGCATAGTCAGCCTCCTTAGGGTTGCGTTCGGGAGTCTCGAAGTCATAAGCACTAAGGTGCACAATGTCCACCAAGTTGATGATGGCGGGAATGTCGAAGTAGACTGCAAAATAGACATTAAGTTAGGAAAAAGAAAATCATGTTACCTCTCCTTATTAGTTTCTCGTAGCAATTTATAATTAGAGTCATGTAATCAAGTTACATTTTATACGTCTGTATTAACTAGTAATATGACCTTAATCTGACCTACTTAAGACATTTCTGTAGATGTATAGTGTGTACATATATACAACTGCAACGTGTAAAGAGAATTATATGTACCACTATGTACTATTCCTTTAGTCATTATTTTAATCGGTAGGTTGACAAAACTGGACAAAACAAAGAAAAGTGGTAAGCGATACTACCGACAACGTTCAATAAATTCTTAGACACACATGTATGCGGAAGAATGTTAAGGAATATTTCATCATTAACAAAGAATTTAATGAAGCCTTACCTATAGCTCAAGGTGAGGGAGGATTGATTAAATTCCTCTTAGATGGCTTGACATTATAGGCTTTGAAAATACTGTGGCAATCCTTTCAAGTAATTTGGATTTTTCTATCAAAAATATTAGATCACTTGACTTTTTAATCCCTTACAAGACACTTTGTATCGTACATAATTTCCTAGCTTTGAACAATTACGCCGAATGAAACAATCAGCTTACAAATTCAAAGTACATTAATATTGGTAAAAGTATGATGATCTTTTAAGTAATTGGACAAAAACTGATTGCATATTGTTGCAATACGTTCTATCAACAAATGAAAATTTATTTGAACAGTTCTATGTGCCACTGCTCAAAGCACGCATCTCTTTATACGGAGAAACTAATGTAATCTGATAAAAAATGTTCATAGGTACTTACTGGAAGAATTGACGTTGGGTAGGACAGTGACTGCTAGTTGCATGTTAGGCTTGACGTTCAAGGCCTGTTTCAGCTCACGGACCAGAGCGGTGAAACCTTCACGGTGCTCAGCCTCCTTCTCATCAACAGGGGTGGTACCGAAGGTCTTCTTAATACCGTGCCAAATGGATCCTGATAACATTATTACGTTTTATTTACAAAAGCATTTTTTAGAAAATAATATAGTGAATCGATTATAATATCTACTCTGGTATAACAAGGTAGTCTATATCAATGAAAATTTAAATAATTGATAGATTAAAAATGCTTCATATGATTCGACATTATCGCGAATCTCATGAATGAAAATCTGAAAGAACCGTTCGTACTCACCCCAGGTGGAGCGGATCTTCTTGGGCTTGTATTTGGGGAACTGCCAGGCGAGGTCAATGCCGTCAAAACCGTGCTGTTCAGCCAACAACACACCGGAGTTCACGAACGCTGTGCGCGCCTGTGGTGACTCCAACTGTGAAAGAAATGAGTAAGTCAGTATAATCTTATTTAAAATTTCTCCACGAAGTCTATGTTAATAGTTTAAGGATACAATGAATTAACTAAAAGTGAGTGAGTATTATATTGTTCTCGATGAGCAGATTATATTGTATTGCACGTATTATCATCAGTCATAAATGCTAGTCGTGTAGTAATATCTACATAACAAAATTTCCACTAAACTTAAGTATTTCTAGAAAGTCATAAAGAACACATGTTCTACCGTGAAGGTAAAGTATTTATTAATCAAACCTCTATACCTATTCCCTTACAAACCCATTCCTGAATACAAAGTCATCTAATTTATCAAGTTAATTTGCATAATCTCAAGCTGCTTCAGTGCCTTCTACAAAATCCAATCATGCATGTACGTTGACATGAAATGTATTCAATTACAGTCCATTTATTGGGTACCCACCCACAGCCAGTGAGTTATCTTATATCCTTTGAATTAGTTCTGTGGTTTCAGTACTCAGGGAGTAGCTATAAATAACACTACTACATCATTGGACTATTTTAGAACCATCTTATAAAATAGATATGACGGGAGAATAAAATTTTTGATTGCCTTTTTTATAATTAGTGTATGACGGAACGAACAATAAAAAGAAAAAAATATTTAAAATTTTAAAATATGCGTAATAGGATGCTAAATTAGTTTGAAATTTCCCACTAACCAGGAGGTTGTATTTCTGGGCTTCTTCAGTGTCGACGTCACCACCAACGGACAGCAGGACCTTCAGACCAGGGTATTTGGTCTTGAAGTTGGTGATAGCTCGGTAGTTGGCGTGGGAGCGGTCTACGTCCAGGTTCTCGTTGAGGGACACCATCTTGTAGGTGTCAGGCTGGACGCCAGCATATCCGTAGACCAGGTGGGAGCAGAAGGACAAGGCAGGGTCCAAGTCCAACGGCAGCATGCGCGCTTGAGCTGGATAAATGCATCCTTCGACTGAATTAAGATGTTTATGATGTATTTCACGAAGATGGGCTACTAATCCCTCTTTCGAAATACTCATAAAGAATATATTGATCTAATTTATCTAATATACATATTTCTTTAGAAGAACTGGATTGATTATGTCACTAAGGATCTGATTCTCAGTATCGCAATCCTTTCGTAAGATTTATTGTTGAAATGGCTACAAAAACATAATTTGCATTTGTTGCTATAACTAACCAGTTCATTGTGGATGGTGTTTATCAAAGTGACTCGTCTAACTACTAGGATTAGAAATGCCATAATAATTATGTAAGGTTTGAATCTATTGTAATTGTTCGAAGGCAATGCGTAAGTTTTTAAACTCGTGCACAATGAATGATTTGTTTTTGAATCAACTGGTTTACTTAAATTGGTTACATTTACAGATTCCAATCTAATAACACTTCTGAGAACAATACTCAGTTAATCAACATAGCGCTTAAGATCACAAACAACCTAACGCAAACTTGGTCAAGTTGTTTACTCCACGTCGATCGACAAAAATGGCCGTAAGTACCACCTAAATTAAGGATAAGTTCCAGACAAGGTTTCGCAAATGTTATCCGATATACAACACAAATAGTAATATACAACATGGACTTTAAACGGTAAAGTGTAAACAAGGACCTATTAATCTATTACCAGCACAGCGTATCGACTATTATCTATTATTACGGGAGGTCTCAACGAATCCTCAGGGCCATACTGAATTGGTCTTTGACTTTATTTGAACTGCGTACAATTGAATAATCCTATGAGGAAAAACATCTTAACATTCGTTTCTATTTGATAAGGTTAGTCATCTTGTTTGTCTGCGAATGTTTCGTTGAATTTGCAATGCTGCGGCATAATGTCATTACAATGAGTAGACTACAGTGTACCTACGGACAATTTCAATGAAACAGTACCTATGTATATTTTGGACAAAAAATCGGCAGCTGCAGGTATGAGTCAGTGCGCAATTACATCACCGTACAGACAGTTCACTGTTAATATCGAATAGGGGATATAACCACGCAATGTCGCACGTGGGCGCTAGGTCTTAGATGTCTATATCTATTGTATAAAACGAGAACACTCAATTCCATTGTTTCCGTTACATTAACCACTTAACGTCTGGCACGTACATACTCGTACCTCGCCAAATGACGTGATCAACACACAAACTATAAGGGTCCACACATTAACATCAAGTGAGGATGTGCCTAAATGTGTAAACAGAAGGCTTTTGTTTCAAGGACTTTTTCTTAGATCAGAAAATTTCTTAGGTACTTAATTTAAAGTCAACACGAAGTCTACATTGTTCCATAATTGAAGTTATCATCGAGAAACAGCAATACTTAAGACTTATTAATTCTAAAAGTACATGTCTAATAAATCACTTTAAACAGAGTACAAGAATCGCAAGTACCTATAGTACCTGAAATAATTAAAAAACTAGGCATTTTTCTTAGCAATGTGCCTACGAACATAATGAATGAATGCTAGTCAAGCCATCACCCGAAACAACCCAGGATGCTGGAAGAATGATTACCTGCGTCACATGATCCTTATTGACTCATGTTTCACTCACAAGAGGGCAAACATATATTGCGCTAAATTACCATCTCATTCGTTCTGTTTAAGCAATTATTCACTTCTTACAGCGGTTTCCTGTCACTACCTCCACTTATATAAATAACTAACAGGACTAGAATATCAGCAAGACGTTAGTATTCATTTAACATATTATTTACCTTGTATGAATCAAATAAAAGTGTTAGACGCAAACAAATTATTTGTCAATATAAGAAAATCGTTGAGCGGTAGTCGCCTTAATAGAAATATACCTATTTCAAGGGTTAATGTACGGCCAATCAAATACAGACGTATGATTTGTTGTCTATATCGATTTACCGGGTTTTCTCAGTAATGAATTTGATAAATGTTGTTAGATATGCATAAAGATCAAGTCAATATTGAGTTTGATGGCATCCAATCCTCGTGACTTGTGACAAACCAAATACAGTAATCCCTTATTCATAATTAACTAAGCGCGAGGACATGGAACTGATAGATAAGCAAACAATGATTTTTCATCTTTTGTTTAAGTAATGTAATAAATAGGACAATGCAGACACAAACAACCACCATTAAGTCGTACCGGAAAGTTTTGATAGTAAAAGATAATAATAATTAATGACGTTTTCCGGGATATAAACAAAGGGTTAATAGGAAAATAAATGATAAGCGAATCTGGCCAAAGTTGGTACCTTCGCATGTCTATTTTGTGTTGATGGCTTGTTTGTTATTATAAACTGTAAAAAATTATAGGAAATTAATTAAATTAATTAAACATTATTTACTGTTCAACATCTACAAAAATATTAGAATTTGTGCAAGGATCAACTCTTTTGAAAATAATTCTACCTGATAATATAAAAAATATAAGATATCTACCGCCCTTTGCATACATAAATAGCTACCTACCTGACAAAGAGAGATGATCTCATGAAACGAGTCCATTTCCATATGACGACGAGGACACAATAATAAACAAATTGACCAAACGAGTAATGCCTACTGGACTCTTTTTATTAACAGTTGACGTCACAAGGTAACAATCGCAAGACCTAGCAGCATAAAAAATAAGGAAACTGGCGTGCAATAAGTAAGTAGGTATGAATTAGTTTGTGGTCGATAGTTTATTATCTCACAAACTTAGTCAAATGTTTGTCTATTGGATTCTCAGTATTTCTAGAACGACTTTGTTTGTGGTCGCCATTATCATTTGGCCTTTTGTTGACACGTATCATACACAGGTCACAAGCTAGCTCGCGTGTTTAGCGATTGTCTTTATTATTCACATATATTACTTAATCATTACTTACAAACGCTTATCCAAAGTTTCAACGTCGAAGGGTTATAGAAGTTATCATCACAAAAACAAAATATATCTTGTTTTCAAGTACACTGATATTTTTGTTATTTCAAGGTCTCGATAATTTTGGGGTCAACAACATTTTGTTCTAAACCTGCTAGAAAATAAATAGGTACAGGTTCCAACACTATAAAAATATCTTAGTATGTTATTAAATCAAAGCTTGCGTAATCGAATTTAAATTAACGTTTCGATTGATACCTAGCGAAATCAAGGCTATTAGTATACAAAAACAATTATCAAAGAAAAGGCCACGTTTGGTCGGCCTTCTATATGCTTACTGCGTTCAAGTTATTCTGAGAATCTCCAAGCTGTATTTCAATGTTAAGGAGGAAAAAATGCTAATAGTATTACCCCTTTATTCCTCGAAGTAAGACCTAATATAATATAAAGTTGCTACGGCAAATCAAGAATTAAAAAGAATAAAATAAACCGTATATTCAAAATCTCTTGTCTGTAAAACATTTTATTATTGAGTCAATCCAATTGGATTAGCATTTATTTACAGAATATAAAAGTAGAACCTACATGTTCATTACGTGAGACCAATTGCATTTGCCCCACTTAATAATATTGTAACATTAATGCAAACAATTATTTTCAACAATATAACAATTTACAGTTGCTTACGCATATTTTCTAAGAATATTGTTTTACATAATAATATTTACTAAGACGATGACTAATTACCTACTGCCTATCAAAACCACAGTTTCAGCATTTACCATGTAAAACATTTAAATATAAACCATAACATTAGGTGTTTGCGCATTATTATTTTTAATTTCATTAACTAATTAAGCATAAATACCACAAAACTGGTAATTATTATTCAACTGCCGACCAATTTCTTACAGTAAATGAGTACGGTGTAGTTAGTTTATTTTCACATTAACTTCCGTCATTATAGACACAAAGAACAATTTTTTTTGAAGGGGGGAAAGTCATCGAATGACTGCTCCTGCCTGGGTGAGGCGGGAGGGAGTGTCATACTCTTACTGACTAAAAACCATCCCGTTCCTTCTCCTGCACATCGAGGCGGAGCCCCGATTACCCGTTAGGTTCTCCGCGACAATTAAACAACAATAGGTTGCGGTCACCGGTGTCCTCGCGGTGTTTGACAGTTTAAACCGTTTTTTTAATAAGTATTCCGAATCGCTCTTCGGGCTCATGAAAATTTAAACAACAAAATAGATTTTACCGATTCTTTCGCATATGAAAGCCTACTAACGGCATTCCTGTGTACTCGCAAGAGTAAATAAATACGTATTATAAGTAAAACAAAGAACATAAACGTCCTACCAGGAATTGTGTCATCTATTCCAGTATTATTGTATTATCTAATTTTAAACAAACTGTCTGTTTCAAATGCCATGTTCAAAACAATAAAATATTCAGATGTAGGTAAGGACTGTGTGACGGCTACTCCCACATCTGATTCATTATTCAACCTACATCATTTGCACACCGACACATGAAAGTTATTCACAAAAATACTGATAATAAAGTTCAGTAACAATACGTACGTTTGAGCTAAGTAAAATTTATGTCGTATGCGGGTACAGGACGTTGCCAAATGTCCCACTGATAGCAAATATTGCGTTACCACTCTATTTCACTATTTATTTCGATTGCTTACCATTTTGCATTTACCTTTTTCAGTTTTACTATCGTTATTCTTAGTGGCAAAGGTACCAAACCCGAATTTTAATACGTCTAATGCCCTAACCCTTTTTAGGGGACTATTGTTCGGAATTCTTATTTTACATATGAGGGAGCATTAAGAATAGAAATCTGCTTCGGAATGTAACCAATTACAGGGTCTATGTGCTATTCAGATGTGTTTATTTACATTTCAGTTGGGTCGGCTTTTAAGTAAGCAATGTATTTTTCGCCCTATTGTATGTGTTGTAACGATCCAAAATTTTTCGCCACTACCGTCTTTTTATTTATTTTATTTATGCCCTTTCCGAATCTGTAAATGAAGTGTAACGCTCAACTCTTTCAGTCACACTTTTAATGGTTACGAATATATTTTTTTTTCATAAAAAAAATAGTAACTAGATTCTAAGATAAGGTAATCACCTTATCACCTTAGCCAATTAGCTACAGTGACCAGTAAGAAGGTTAAGGGTTAAGGCCTTTATGTGGAACGACACTTAACTCATCGAGTACCGGTTTTGTAGACACAATTATAGAACAATAGTTTGCGGTCACCGGTGACCGCTTGGTGTTTGACAGTTTAATAAGTCTAACGAAGGCCCTGAAAGACCAGAAATGGGTGTCCTTTGAACGAGATGATGATGAGAATAGAACTCTTAGAAGATTAATTCATCTTAATATAATTTTCCACAATATTATTTAATTGAAATCTTCAACAGAGTGGATCAGAATTTATTTGGTCAAAAGTTTTATCCTTGTTGTAAAATCAAATAGTTTTAAAATATTTACTTAGTGCGTGCCTACCTAGGTGACAACTAATTACCATGAAAAGCGGTAAGTCCCAGGTTTTTATTTGACAAATAGCAGAGTAGCGGTTTATTTTATAAACAAGAAGATAAAAATCTCGAAGTTATTCTTAGTATATTCAAGTTTTAGTTATTTAAAGCTTGTATTACTGGAGACAAAAATGATAAACCTTAACTCTTTTAGAAAAAGGGCTATTTTCCAAGATTCAAAACTACAGACTTTTACAGACAGGCGAATAACAAGCCGTGATAGAAAAGTGAATGACTTTTAATTCTACATCAGAATACGCGACACGTATGAAATTGATTCTTAGTTAGTATTATTTATGGTACATATTTTATTTCTATTTATACACTAAACATCAATATTAATAGTTCACTCATCGTTCGAAGGATAAGCAGTGCGTTGAATACAAATTCTGTTAAGGAATTCTTGACTTGTGTTGACAACCACGTACATACATTATTATTTGTAGTTCTATATGCCTATAGTACACTTTTTAACTCGTCGAGTACCGTTATTATAGACACAATTATAGAACGATAGGTTGCGGTCACCGGTGACCACTACTATATTTCTTGAAGGTAATATATATATACATATATATACACATACCGTCATGTCATATGTGTATATCCCTGAAGAAGTACATTATGTTAGAACCCGATCCAATATATATATATACATGTACATAGGTACTTAAAGTAACAGCCTCTTTTTACTAGGTATATACTACTAAGAAATAAAAAAAAATACGATTATATCATTTCAGGTGTGGGAGAGCTATGCTTCGGCACGAATGGGCCGGCTCAACCGGAGTTATACCACGGCCTCACTGAAAACCGACATGAAGCAACGCTTGCGTTGTGTTTCGTCGTGTGAGTGAGGTTACCAGAGGCCCAATTACCCTTCCCCAATCTCCCCAATCCCTGAATCCCCAACGATCCTCAAACTCCTAATCCCCAAAAGGCCGGTAACGCACTTGTTATGCCTCTCGTGTTCCAGATATCCATGGGCGACGCCGATTGCTTACCATCAGGTAATCCGTCTGCTCGTTTACCGGCTTAAGCCATAAAAATAAAAAAAATCCATTGGGAATAAAACTTAGACATTGATAGTAAAATATTTGTATATTATTGTTAATAAAATATTTGTATATTATTATTTTAATATTATGTAATGCCAAGTAGTTTACAGTTCCAACATAATTATTATAAAACAACTTTTTATATTACAATTATAAGAGTGTATTATGTATTATAATTATAAGAGTAGTTATCAGCCCTTATCATATCAGGTGAAAGGTTACAAGGAACTTGTTTATGCTATCACGTAACAATAACAAGATTTCTCTCGCAATGTAATAAACATTGTACCTACTGTAATTTACTTGATAATAGTAGAAGCTATATTTCATAATCTTATTCGATAGCCTTTTGTTTTGCAGCGATGCGGAATAAAGAAAAACTAACTCTTTTACTAAAACCTTAAGGCTGTTTTTACTTTTTTCCTCAAAGCCAGTCAAAGGGGCAAGGCTCGGACCTTTGTGGGTTGTGAGTTGCATCAAATTATTTACTGGCCATAAACTGAATAAACATTTTTAAAACTAAAAAACGAAATATTTTTGGGTCAAAACGAAGCGAACTAATTTGTCAAAGTCAAAGCGCTCTTATTGCAACTAAGTGTTACAGAATTATTATAGTGCTTAAAATTTAGCGGTCTTTTACATAAACTATATATTTTTTTGATAAATACATTCATTGTTATTAACATTAGCGATAAAATTGCAGGTAGATCGTACAAAATTATTTTATACGAAGTAAAACAAATATTTGTCTGGTATATGTCAAATTATACCTAGTAAAAATCAATTCAAAAATTATAATCGCATTCGAGTCTAGGAGGTCAGTAACAAAATCATACAATATATTAAACCCGTCATATATTTTTTTGCATTAAATAAAATTATTCTATTTTCGACTCTAAATATTCCATCACTGAGTAGAAATATCCTTCAATTAGGTATAGCTTTCATATATTTTAAAATATTAATTTTAATTTTTGAGATTCATCTGGCAATTTATTATAACCTATATTTTTATAGCCATATGGAATGGACTATTGCTAAACATTTTTATTTTTGATAGTGACGCTTTCTTTATGGTTAGTGGCGGTGGTGGTCTTTCTTAGTGGTGTTAAATATCTTCTACTCGTATGAATTTTTCGATATTTTTACAAACAAAAACACAATACATATAACATCAAGTAGGTATATTTACGAAAGAGTTACAAACTAGTATTTTTTAAACTGTCAAACACCAAGCGGTCACCGGTGACCGCAACCTATTGTTCTATAATTGTGTCTATAATGACGGTACACAACGAGTTTAATTTGCCCGGGACCCGGAAACATAAGCCTTTGTCTGACCCGATTCGTTGTTATAAAGTTAACTTAACCTATAATAATAGGTGGACCAAATCGTGTCAGATCGCGAGCAAAACAGCAAAGGTAGAAGTAAGACCTACAAATGACAGGAAAAGCCTTCAAACATGTCATATTACAAATATTGTACGTTTTTATTGTGGGTAATAAATGTTCGTAGGTATTTACATACTAAAACCTCACAATGTCAAGGAACGAATTAGTACTTTGCTAATTCAGAATACATTTATTTTTTTATTGTTAAACGCGGGTAGGACTACGAATTTATATACCTGCCTAACATTTAAAACAGGTAACTTTAAAGTACCTTTGAAATAAAAACTATAACAAAAAAAAAATAAGTATTAAAATCGCGGGCGCAGCTTCTTTAATCATTATATCCTTCTACCTACGCTTTACATTATTTACCTACAGTGCTTGACAATGTAAATCGGCCTTTAAATAAGATAATTGCATCCGCTGTACTGGAGATGTATATAAAACGGATAATTGGGGTTAATATGTTAATCGTATGATATCATCGCGAAATATTCTCCGTAAACGATGTTTTTTTTTCTTGTATGGACATTGGGCATTTATATAACGGACTGTGGTTTTTGAAAGTGGCTACTAGTCGCAATTACTTTCACATAAACAAATATTACACATTTCATATTTAAGAATTTCTAGAATGTTAAAAACAAAATACACCTGCAGATATTATACAAAATATATTAAGCTGTCAAGGTTTCATCCCGTTTAAAATTCGATTCAAAGAAATGATACTTAAAATCGTGATGTAAATTATTAAATTATTTATATATTATGTAAGCAATTTTAATGCCGGTCGTTCCATATTACTTAATTATTTCCGCATAAAAAAAAAACAAACGGAAGCTGAAAAAGTAATTATATCAAATCTACGATATAATATCGAGAACGATTTGCGAAACCGGCTGAAATAAAATTCGCGGGTAGAAACGCACAGCGAAAAAATAAGAAATATACTTACATTCCCTGACATAGCTCTTGCTGTTGTAGTAGCAGACGACTTTGGCAGGGACGACGGGGCCGACGGCAGCCGAGATAGCCAGGAGCCCGGCTAGAACGACCAGAACCTTCATGATTAATAAATATTTATGCTAAATGACTGATCACCACGAGGCGTATGTGGCGAATGAGCCTCGAACTCCAACGCGCTTACAAGATGCTATAACTATAAGGTCAAAGATTAACATGACCGCTTCAGATTTCGCCGAATCGTATCTATTTGTTGTTTTAACCTCCTTCTCCTCAGAAAAGATAAATATATATCTTCCACATAGGTTAGTGTTTTTACCTTATAATTGTTTGTTTTAAATTATTTATTCTAAACTTTTTTGTGTACGCTTAATAAATTTTAATAAAGATCTGTAAACAATATTTTTTACGACTGTCTTCTTATACTTTCTTCGTTTTAGATTGTTCAACGAATTTACAATCGACAAAATATTAGTAGTAATATTTTTGCTTGTTTGCATCGAACAAATAACAAGTTGATGCAGGTAGGCACAATACGGTAACTTAGTCTATGCCTGGCCAAGCTTGGTGATGTCATCGTGTCAGTGCCAGTAGAAAAGATTTCACGTACCATACATAATGTACGTACCTGTCGAATGCAAGGCAGCAGCCGACAAACTGGTTACACCTCAGGGTCCCAAAAGCGTGTTTAACCAGCCTATAAAACACCTATTTATTTTATGGTCTCTTTGGATGGTATATACATCGCAAGTATACATTTTTTGCCCAAAGATTCATTATCAACAAAAAATATAAATACCAGTATTAAAATAATCATTTTGTCGAGGTCCACTGCTAAGCATTAATCTTTTCATGGTATTGACATCAAGGTCTTCTAAATGATGATTAGATCTATCTTTATTTAAAAGGAAATCTTTCAATAAATACTCCCGATTTGGATAAGGCAATAGAGAGCATCATCCATTACTGACTAAATATCGCCCCGTTCTTACTCCTACTTTGAGCCCTTGCCCCTGCCAGCAACCCGTTTTAAGTCTTCCGCGGTTCAATATCCGACATCAGTCCTAGTGGGCGCAATCGGTGGTTGTCTGATGGTTCAGTGAGGCGCGCGCGAAATGCAACTACGTGAAACGTTTTGTTCTTCTTGATGTAAGAACAAGCTTTGCTTTATCAGCAGTAAGATCAGCAGAAATCATCATTGACTTTGCAAATTCTTCCCAGCCCCCTTTCCAAATCCAAAGAGTTTTCGACCATCGAGCGAATCATGTATGTTGAGGGCTTAACCATCGTGGGATATCAAAGTGAAACTAGTGGTTATAACGTATATAATGAAGAGAGTTATTACTATTATTAATCATTGATAATATGAAAATATTGCTCAACATTCCGGTTGCAACTTCAAGAAGATAAGTTGTTTACTGAGTCAAGAGGTCGCACTTTGATACGAATTATCGTAGTGTTGCCAGTTTTCAAAGATGTCGAGCAGTCCGTGGGCAGTCCACAGGGAATCCCTGGTCCCAAGCGGCGTGTAATTTTTCCGAATGATTTGTTTAACTCGACTAGTTTTTTTAGTACCTATTGATTAATTATTATGTGTTAATCTCAATGACATTGGCGTCTTCGTTGATTGAGTGGTCGCAAATGCGACAGTTTGGCTGCAAGGTGTCTCGGGTTCGAATCCGTATCCGGAAAAGTATTACTGGTTATTTTTCGGTATTTCGAAAATTTCTCGGTAATAGCACAGAGTCTGGAATTGCGTTCGGCAATAGGCTGGGCTAATGGGGGTGCCATTATATGAAACTTATAGCATAGTGAGAATGGTACCTGCCTATATGTATAAAAGGAGTGAATATTTTTCTCAATAAAAACATGTGGTTCACAAATTTTGATGCAAATAATATATCCGCTGTTGCAAACAATTGGAAACCTTGATTGAAAACAATCATTAGGCATGACGGGGTATTCGCGTGGCAATTATTTGGCAGTATTGTTTCATTAACCGTCGATTTATCAACCCTCCGAGGAATGACCATCAGGAGTTGGATTGACACAAAATTAAACCCAGCATATTGAAAACTGAAACAATGTGTCTAAATTAAAATAATTCTGGATATTGCTTTTGTTTGCCATTTTTATGATTCACTGTCAGGTCTATTGATGTATTCTTAAAAGTAATTCAGTCTTCTATGAAGGTTGTCGGTCAGGCAACTTTGGTAGTCCCTATAGCTATAGTTAGGCATTAGCTTAAAATTAAAGACTCACCTAAAACAATAATACCTAATTAAGGTCGCAAGGAGCCGCTGAATACAGGCCGCTTCTTACCGATCTATGTGGTATCAAGGGAGGCTTGTGCTCAGCTGTGGCCGTCATGAGACCAATACGATGATTTGAACCCTTGAAGAGTCGGCAGCTGCGCTGACATTAAGCCATCTAGTTAAATTATAAACCTAACCCGTTAAGGACTTAACCGGTTACCGGGGCTTCGGCTCGAAGGGCAGGAGTAGGAACGGGGTGGTTTTTAGTCAGTAAAATTCTGACACTCCCTCTCGCCTCACCCAGACGGGAGAAGTCATTCGATAATTTTCCCCCTAAAAAAACCGTTAATGTGCCACAATTGGGAAAACCACAGAAGACAGAAATGTAAAGCACATTCATATAAGTTGGATCCTTACACCCAAAGCATATGTTTTATCTAGTGTTTTCCTGTTTATATGTCTGGGATCAAGTCGTGGAGTATTCCCATCAGTACCTGACAAAAGCTCTTTAACAGCATAGCAATGTTCAAGGAAGTTTCAATTATTACCTAAATATAAGTATCCATTGTATTCAAGTAATAAAGTGCGTAGGCGTTTAATGTTTTTCAACAACTAGTGCGCGGTGACTAACTGGGTCTAAACAATCTGCCATAGGCATATAGCCATCGGACCATTTAAAACCAATATAAGCTGACCGTTTATCTGCGGAAAGATTATACAAACCAAGACTATGATAAACTGGTTTATGTATAGCTTGTAATGTAGTTGTGTACACAATATAGTCATTGGAGATTAAATTCTTGATAAACACGTACATATTTGTACTTGCTCGTATAGGCGACGTAACTTGGTATTTAATACTTAAGATGTGCTTCTTAATTTCAAACCTTTGTCAATATAATTCGTCTTTAAAATATGAGCGAAGTGAAGCCTTTCGTATCTTAAACGACTCGATAAGGACATTGAAGTTATCATGAACTAGAATATGGGCAGTGTACACTGTTGCACAAAAGATCGTCCTAATAAATAGGCAGTTTACTACAACCACCACGATCTGCAAACAAAATTGGCCAGTCAATTAAGTCACAAAAAGCTAAGGAGGTGCTACAGCTCGTCCTTCAGTGTCAATGAGTGCAGTTTCGGTATGTACCTACACAATACATGTGGCAATGGAGGAATAAAAATAAACAAATGATTGAATGTTAAAAATGTTATTATAGGTAATCAATATTTGAAATGTTTATTACATTTAATTAGCTTGAAACTTGTTTATAAAATCACTAATTGATTTATGTTTGGTCAACTACGGTGTAAAAAATTAAAAATAATTTAGATAATACCCACACTAGAAATTGTAAAAAATATATTACTCGCCAGAGTATAAATACCGTCACATATTTTGTTCTCGACCATTATTTATTAACTATTTTATACATTTTTAATTCAACCGTCCTACTGTTCAGAGATTTAATTATTGTAGGTATGTTAAAAAAAACACGTAAAACCTATTTTAAGTTTCACTGTTGATTCTGGACGAGGAATCCTTAGTGGATGACCAGTTCCACAATGACTGTTGCGTCTACATTAATGACGTCACCATTAAGTAGTACCATCCTCGACTTCATCCGATATAGGTTATTACGACTACGTAGAGAGAGCGCCCTAGGCAAGCACAGGCGCCCCTATTTTTTTGGCGCCGCCGTTTTTCTATGGGCAGATGGGTATGCGCATCTCGCGACGCCCGGTCCCTCTCTATAACTTGGCGCCCTTGGTACTTATACTTCCCTAGTTTGCCTTATGGATAAAACGGTCCTGCCTGGTTATTTGGTAAATTGCTTTTTCATCCCTTTGTGATTCATTCTGTGGAACATGAAGACTAAGTTAGACTAGTTCGAACTACATTATCATACTATTTATTTAAAAAACATAATCATGAATTCTAATTTAAATGAAAAATAAATTAATATGTACAACTTAAGATACCCACACTATAGCTAAAAGATAAAAATTTAATAATTATATTATTATCATACTTATTCTTAGTGTGTATATTTGAAGTAAGTATGCATTTTATGTACCTACTTAAAATGACGACATCTTTCTATAGTTTGTCAATAATCTATTCAATTACTTATCAATCATTTATTTATTTATAGTTTTGTCTTTTAGTACACAATTTTGTTAAATAATGGCACGCAAGGCGAACTTTATGCCATATGGCATTCGCTACCAGTCAACCTTAGGGTTTAAGTAGAAAAGCTGCGAAAAATAAAGTTCATAGATTAAAATAACAGCAACAAGAAAAAATATGATTTTTATATAAGTAATATAGGTAGTACATATAGTAAAATACCCTTTTGCTACTTAGCTTTAATTTTTTTTTTTTTTTTTT